AATCTAAACAAACAAAATCAAACATCCCCAGCATAGCACTACAATAAGCAATACCTGGGGGACATCTCAGGCTAAAAACTGCCTGATCCTGATCAAAAACATGCAGCAAGTGGTTTCACAATAGGCACAATCTTGCGCTACATTTCCTTCTGGCCAGGTTCTGATACCCAAATGACAGATTTAAAAGAAGCAAGAGGGATTTGAGCTGTCTGGCTTTCCTCATCCCTGCAAACATCCCATGAACCAGGTCCCAATTGAGAAAGCTATTTGGGCACACATATAATCTTAGTGCTAATGAGTCCATTTACACGTGTTTCAGTACCTTGCTGAAAAAGCTCACTGAAGTCAACAGCCTGCAGCTCTCATTCATCTTCTTGCTCAGTAATTACACAAGCAGGAACCTCAAAATCTCAGAGATACTTGGAAAGTAGCAACTTCAAAATAATGCAATCACATTAAAGACTACCACTGAACTGAAGCAGTGTGCTGAGGTCAAATTAAGCCAAAAGCAACAGCTGATGAAGATTAGGATGGTCTCTTATCTCTGCACAACCACCTGCTCCCTCCCAGCCCTGCAACCAGGCAGCAGGATCAGCTCTAGCCTCAGGAAGGCCCAGCAGATCTTCAGACATAGTCCTCCTTCAGTACTAGAAGACTAGGACTAGCAGAGGACTAGGACATGGTCTCTGAGATGGTAAAACTCTCATACCCCTGAAGGGCTGGGTGTAGCAGGGGCTGTAATGCTTAGCTAACCTTTCACTCAACAAAGGGCAGAATGGAAGCATCTCTTTAAAACAGACCCAAAAAGGGCCGTGACACTGGCTTCAGAAGATAGCCCTATGTTTCTGCCTTGCAGTGGTAGGAACCCAAGTTGGGACATGGGTTTTTGCTTTTCTGTAGGCTTCTCTGGGAGAACCATGGTGAAGGAGGATTCACTACACCAGACTACAACCTCCCAGCAGTAATGGATGGTTCAGGAGGCAGCAGACCACATGCACTGTACCCCACAGCTGCTCAACGCGAGCAGGAGTTAAAGAGAGCTTCTCTGATTTCACCCAGTCAGCGCTCCAGAGCACATTATTTTATTATCCCTTGTAACATGTAGATGACTACTGTCCAGAAAATAACCCAGCCTCTTTTTAAAGCCATCTGCAATTTCCTGTTTTTAACATCCCCACATAGGAGGCCTGTAATAAGTGCCGCTCATAAGCAAGGAGCTGTTCCTCCCACATCCCTCCTGGGGAAAGCCTTCCCATTGCTTCAAGTCCTCTCTGTGGTGAACAGGAGGCAGTACCCCAAAGTGCTGCTGCAGAGCCTTGTAGTAACATCAGCACAGCTAGAAGGTTTTAATCTCAGGTGTTCCTGTCAGGGCTGCTTTCATATCGTTAACAACATTGGAAATCCCAAAACAACATCTCTGTTGTGTGCACGCATGTGAGCTGCACTACTGGGGCCGGTCACATTGTGGAGCTGATGCTGGCAGTGCCAGGAGGCCAGAGCACAGCAGCCCCGGTGCCCTGAAGAAAAGGAGCCCACATAGGTGTAATTGCTGGAAAATCGAGTCCTTGTTGACAAAGCAGAAGCATGGCATTGTGCACAGGCAGTTCATAATGTTGGCTTTCATTAAGCGAATGGCTCATCAGAATGACAGACTGCGTAAAGTGATATTTGTGGCACAGAGCTCCCAAAAATCACAGAATCATAGACTATCCCAAGTTGATGATCCTTGTGGGTCCCTGCTGAGTCCAACTCCCAAGCCCACCACCAAGCTCAGGCAAGAACACGGAGAGGCACCCCAAAATCCGCATGACATCAGAATCAGGCCAAGAAGGACTGTGATTTCTTGGGGCTACTTGAGCCATCTCCCAGGATGCAGAAGAACCCATAATCTGCCTTGTAAAGCCTTCAGCTATCAGTACTGATCAACTCACTCTCTGCAATAAGAACTGCTATGAATAGAGATAACAGAATCAGGCCCATCCCTTGCATGCACATGATGCCTATTTTGTTTGAGTACCCCAGCTGTGCATTAGCATTATAGCTTGCTGTGCTGGCGTTTGATTTCTGTTTATTATCAGTGCAGTGATGATTATCACTCAGCCTCAGATCAATAATAACTACGTTGAGTCAATGGCCTGGATCATTCACGAGGAACTGATAACAAACCTCTAACACGACTCGATCTCTGGCTGCCAACTGCACTTGGGAGGGAGTTAAGCTCCCAGCAGCTAACCCACGCTGCCGCAAGCACAACACACGCAGGCATGCTTCACAAACAAAAGCCTTCGGGTTTTTCAAAACCTCTTTGTAGTATTTTTTCCGCCGCTGCTTTTCACATCTGTTGGTTTTGGGTCCGGCAGTCCCCCGCTCGCTGAATTTCCACATGTATTTCCACACTGGATGTGTCTTTAACCTCAAGTGGACTGTCAAGTGAGATGCCAGATGCCCCCTTACTTCCTCAGTGCAAACTATCGGTAAACCTTAGCATAACTTTACTTTGAGCCTTAAACTAACAGCATGTGAAAAGATTAATATGAATAAATTCAAAACTAATCAGATCCCTTCTTTAAATGTTGACACAGTATTATTTATATCCCATAAATACCTTCTTGACTAAAATTCATCCCAGGAGATTGGCACCTCGCCAGTTCTATTCATATTTACTGTATTTATACAGTACAGTTGGCCAAGGATAATATTTAAGACAAAATATGCCTTAGGGTATATACAATATCTCTTATAGTTTTCCTTTTAAATCTCCTCATTGCTAAAAATATTTAGTCTGAACTTTATAAAATGCCCCACAAAGACCTATCAGCGATCTGCAGTGATATACGGCCGACTACGAGTATAATTAGAGCATATTTGTAATACTTGGGTCGCAGGCGGTTGCCGAGTGCTCACGGCTCGCGGCAGGGACTGAACCGCTGATCTTTCCCATGCCTCCCTCCTGGCAGCGTGCGACCCTCCTTTTCCCTCCTGCCTCTCCCAGGCGTGGAGAAAACACAGAGTTAAAGAAATCTGCTCCGAGACACCTTGGATCTGCACTTTCAAGTTCTTCCTTTAAAATATGGTGGGGCGATTTCATCCCTGCTGTCTTTTTTGGAAAGGTTTGCTCCATTTGGTATAACTAGAGAGCAGTGGAAAAGCAGTTAACCTACTTACTGGGATGTTCGCGGCAGCGCGCACAGCAGGACGGGATCTGCTGCCGTGAGGCCCTCTGATCCCAAACTTGTGATGCACTCTGTTGGTAGGTACCTGCAATCTCCTCTATTTGTCCAAAGCCTGGATTGATCCTTCAGTGCAAACCTGGCCTCTGACAAGGCTTTATAATTAGATCCTCTTTTGCCACACCACCCAAGAGGCACAGCGCAGGTAACTGCACTTTCTAGGCCATTGGTCTTTGGGAATCTCCTCACAGCAGGAGACATATGGAACATGGTAAGGACAGAGGCATTTCACCTACAGATGCTGTCCCTCATTTGGCTCTCAGCCATTCTAGCCCTGCCCATAGGTGCCCATTGCTCCACTCAGGATACGACCCAGGAGGTCCCAAAACAGAAGTGCTGGCTTTCAACAAAACTCACCAAAGCCCCACTGATCTGAATACTGACTTAGTTGCTATTACTGCAAATTACACCGAACCTCTTTGCCCATAGCCTCTTGGCTCCAAACGTATATTTCTTTCTTTTTTAAAAAAAAAGAAAAAAAGAAAAAAAGTATTTCTTTCCTCTGGGTAACAGGGGTGGAGTGTATTTATCATGGCTATTAGGGATGGTGCCGTAATTACAATACTAAAATATCCCTGACTGCCAGGGTGTCCCGTACCTGATGCTGTCATTTAACAACAAAGGGAGGCAGCTGCGCCCAGCGCGGGGCTCGGATGCCTTGGCTGCCATCCTGGGACGATCACATGCAAGACAGAGCAAGCCTCAAAGCTACAACTCGCTCAACTAAAAATAAATAAGAGAAAACGCAATTAGAAACTCTAGGATAAAGTTACCAAGATGGCTGCATTATCTGTGTGAGCCGGAGGGATGTGCTTTGCCGACCCAGCCGGTGAGGAGATGGGGCGTCCAGTGGTGGGAGGGGAGACAGAGGGAAGGGAGAGAGGCGAAATAGTGGGGATGCGGCTCTGGGTACGCGAGCGGAGGAGTTACTTTCTGCTTCTGGTATTTCACTTTCCTCGGCACGATGATGATCGAGATTCTTTTAAGGGAGTGCGGTGTTTTTCCCTTTTTTTTTTTTTTTTTTCTTCTTTTTTTCTCCCTTTTCGCTTAAACCTCACAACCCAAACAAAAAGGAGCGTCGTTGCGATTCTTAGTCGCGCTCGGTGGATCCGGTCAGCACAGTGCGTTTGTACCCTTTCACTGCACAAAACGTGGCACGGATCGCCAGAGTGGTTAATAGCAGCGAGAAGGCAGACGGGCTGAGACAGGTTCCAAGCAGCCAGGCTACCCAGAAGGGAAAACTTTTCCTCTACCTGAAATGAAAGCGCCCATGCACCGAGCGGGCAGACGGGGAGGGACAGAGGGGGAAGCCTGAGCTCGCTGAGCACCAACCCATGGGACAGAGTGCTGGAGGGGTGAAGGGAACCCAGGAGGGAATGCTGCGGGTTTTGTTGTGGGTTTGTTGTATTATTTTTTTTCTTTCTTTCCAAGACCTCCTTTTCTTTTCAGTTCTGGAGAGATGGAAACTTGCCCGACTCAGACACTCCAAGGGAAACAACGGCAGCGGAAAGATGTTGGCTCCTCACAGAGGCTGCACCCGGGGCAGCGGAGCGGCTGCGCGGGCACCCCTGGGGACCACATCCCAGCAGGGATCCGAAGCTGGGGGGCAACCGAGTCCCCCCCATTCAACATATTTATTACCCCCATCTAAAGGAAGTCCTATAAGCAACCAGATGGGATACTGAGAGCAAAAGGAGCAAAGAGGGAGGGGTTGTGATGTACAGGGCTGGTGGGCACCGCCAAGCGAAATCACGTCCGCAGAGCACTTACTTTCGGGGTAAAAAGGCTGCATGTCTATTTTGTAAACTTCTTTGGCGTAGTACTCCTCGTCGCTCCGCTCCCTCTCGCAAGTGGCGGCTCTGTGGTTGGCTTTCTCCTGCAGCAGGTCCCTGGTGCTGTTGTAGATGGAGATGACCTCCGGGGGCACCTCCTCGGGCTCGGGGTACTCGTCCGGGGGGCTGGTGAGCTTCAGCTTGCTCAGGATCTGCCCCCGGATCGCCTCGATCCTCTTGCGCATGAACTGATCCATGTCGAGGGTGCTGCAGGTAGACAGGCTGAGAGCCACGGCGGCCAGATCCAGGGTGAGGAACACGCTCAGGAGATAGCAGTGCATCTTAAGTGCTTAAATACAGCGCCCCCCGAAAAAAGAGTGACTTTAACCACGAACGACAACGATGGGGGTGGGGGGATGGGGGGTTTAATACTAAAAAATAACAGGGGGATGTGTGCAAACAAAGGGAGGATCTGCAGACAAAATGCAGTGAACAACCGGACTGCAAGGACGGCTTGCAATCCACAAACGCACGGGAATCGCCAGTGGAAAAAATACCAATAGTGATACAAAAAAAAAAAAAAAAAAAAAAAAAAAAAAAAAAAAAAAAAAA